AATTTCCTAAAATAATATTCGAAAGATTAAAAAAAATATACTAAAAATGATTGGTACAAGCACTATGTGCACATCAACCATATGGAAGAAGATGATGAAGATAACAATGAAGCAGATTTATCTATTTTGCCAATGGCACGTATTGCTGCTTCACCATCTAATCTGAATTAGAACTTCAACAATAATATTAATATAAATCAGTAAAATAAATCTTATAATTGTAATATTCCTTAATTATCAATCAAGAAAGAATCTTTTGATTTGGCTTTAAATACCTTTAATATAGAGGAAGGAGAGGAAAATACAGCTTAAGAAGCTTATTAGCAAGAAATTCCTGTTAGAAATAAAAAAACATCAATTTCAATTAAAGTAATTTAAAAATAAGCTAGATCTTAGTTATTTTCGATGATAAATAGACATTTACTTAAAGAAATTTTATTTGCAGATACTCTTGGACTTGTCAATCCTTCTCCTTCAAGATATCGTCCTTGTTCTGGAGAATCAATTCATTTGGAAGAACATGAAATAGCCAGTGTGAGAGCTTTTACAAAAGCTAACAAATCTTATTTATCTGGACTGCGTAGAATATTTAAATTAGAATATGTACCTCTTGCATCCTATGAAAACAGAAAGCTTCCTTAATGGCTAGATTACAGATCTAAACAAGATTTATTTTTACTAAAAGGATGCCCTACAATAGAAGATTAATCTGAAATATTGTTGCGTTTTTATAATTAAAAACAATTCATTTTGAAGTAATTTTTGATCAAAATAGAATATAAAAGAGAATATACTTAATTAAACAGAATTGACTTATAAAAGTAGTTAAATAGCAGCTAAAATTATACATAAAACTAATTAAGATGTGGAAACACTAAATATTACAGTGAAATTAATTAAGATTAGCATTCTGTAGTATGCACTCCAATCCAATTAAAAAGTATATTAAATTCAAATTAAAATTTCTTTTAAGGAAATTAAAAATCAACATTTTAAGCAACAACCTTTAATTAAAATGAAAAAAATTTGGGAGAATCCTAAAGTTATGCAGATAATGAAATTATAAGTATGGAAGGAGAAGATATTTAAGAAAATACTTTAAAAGAATATAATTTAAAATCAAATTATTAAATATAATCTTAAGAGATTATTCTAGGTCAAAAAAATGCTCCAAGAACAAATTAAGATTAATAATTAGAGTGTTAAGATAATAAGATAAACAAATATAATTTTAATGTTTTAAATATCAAATAAAACAGTTAAAATGAAGAATAAAATGAGTGAATTATCTTAATAATTTAATTCATTTTTTATTATCTTAAAAAGACTTTAAATTAGCTAAATAGCTAACTAGATATCTCATTTACTAACTAATTAACAATTCTATCTTTACTAAATTATTAAAGTATTTTGTTTTTGAAATTATTGTTTGAAATTTCTATCATTTTTTCAATCAAAATAAATTAAATTTATCTACAAATATACTAATTTATTTTAAGTGTGAGTGTATAAATAATTAAATTTTTAAATACCTGCTAAAATTATTTATTTAATAAATTAATTTTTTAATTCAATTAAATATTATTTTTTAATAAATACTTTAGATAGTTTAAATTATAATTAAGTAAAAAATTTTGTTTAATTTTATTTTAAACAGAAGAAACAAGCATAAAAATTAAAGATGACTAGTTAATTTTTAAATGAAAACATGATGAGAATATCTTAATCATTATTAAAGAAATTCTAAAGATAAAATTTGTAATTTTAAAATAGTTTGATACCAAGCTAAACATTATTTAAATATTTATTATTTTAATCAAAATATAAGAGGGCCTTAATAGCTCAAAAATATTTTGATACTCTTTTTATAAAAAAGTAAATAATTAAAACGATTTTTGTTAAGCTTTACTGGTAAATAGTCTTATTTTTTCATAAAGAAAAAAAAATTTAGTAATTTTTTGATCCATTGTAAAAATTTGTAAAAAAAATTAGTTTTCATGTTTGCTATTTTTGTAATAATAAATCTAACTTTCTATCTATTTTTTAGCAAATAAATTTTAATTTAATTACTTATTTTATTAGTTAATTAAAAAGGGAGAGCTTATAACATTTTTAAAAATCAAATATATCTGAAAAGTAAATTTAAAAACTAAAAAATGTAAATAAATTCTTATTAGAAACAATATTAATTATAAAATAGATATAATAGAAGAAAATAAAAAAAATAATTCTACAAATAGCTTACAACATTTTGATAATTTGATAAAATAAATTAACAATTTTTCATATTTAAATAATATTTATAAGAGTAAATTAATAGGCAAATTTTTTAATATAAAATTTGAAAGGATACTCACTGCAAAGGTCTAATTAGTTAGAGCCTATTTTTGAATTTGATATAAAAACCAATTAATTAGAAGGAATATAACAAAAAGTATAATTAATGAATACTTTTTTTAAAAAAATGGAAATAAAGATTGATTTATTTATTATTTGAATATTCAATCTTGATTTGTTTTGAGTTAACGAATTTAAAATAAAGCATATTGCTTGAAGTTGAGAAAGATTAAATATTATTTCTATTATTTATTTTATTTTTTCCTGCAAGCTGAAATAACCTTTTTATTTTAATAAATAAGAAATTCTTTATGTAAAATAAGTATATTTAACATTAAAATTTACATATTTTAAAAATGTTGACAAGTAGTGTAAAAAATAAACTAAGAGAGATAGAGAAAAAATTAAACAGAGAAGGATTAAAATGCAAATATATAAAGTAAAAATATAAATTAAATTTTTAATATTTGTTTAACTAGTTATAATTGGCAATATTTACAATCATGATTTAAGTTTGATATATTCAATGTCCTTTTTTAATCATTAAATATACTTTTTAGTTAATAGATAAGTAAATAAAATACCCACTAAAACTTCTAAGCTAGGGTTGATAGTGGATATTTAAAATTTATATATATATAAAGTAAATTCAATTTTCTCCATAAATAGAGATATGGTTTATAATATTGGTCAATAATTTTTAAAAATACTGATAGTTCATTTTGTAGATGATATCTCTTTATATCTCAATATATTTAGCAACTTCATTGTCTTTAATCCATTCTTGGATGTCTTCTTTAGAAAGAGTTTTTTATCCATTATGAAATTTAAGGATTTATTATTGATATTTACTTTCATCTAATTTTAGGAAGCAAAAGGATGAAAGTCAGGTGGAACCTCCGTTTTATAATTGCTACTAAGGTTTCTTCTAAGTTAGCATCTACAATAATTATTTCTCGATTCATAGGTTTTTAATTAATAATACAATATTTATATTATGCTAATCAAAAAGATGATTGTGAAAACAACTATTAATAATAATTAAAATATAAAATAAATTATCCCATAATTTTTTAAAGGAAAAGGGGATTTTAATTAATGGGGATTTATAGTATTTTGATTTAATTCATTCAGAATTTATAATTAATTACTATAACCTCATTTTATAAAATCTGGGTACTCCTACCCCTAATTTAGACCCATACTCAAAAAGAAAAATTGAGTAAAAAATTAGGAGGAGGGGGTTTGAGCTCTTAATTTATAAGAATTTATAGTATTTGGTAGCGTTTAGAATTCAAAGAAAATTTGCATCTAAAAGAAAAAATTTTTTAATATCAAATAGATTGAAAAATAACTTTTAGAGCAAAAGAATAAAAAGTAGTAAAAATTGATTTTAATTTTAAAGAAATGAAAATTTAAATAAATTTAAATACTGTTTTCATACCATTGTCATTATTTCTTGAATGAAATTAAGAGTAGTAAACAATTTCAATACCTTAAATTTCTTACGCTCCTTATTAGAATTAGATATGTTTAATTATCAAAAACTGAATGAGTAAAAAGAGATTATAATTAATTTTCTTTGCTTTTAGTGATATTTGATGATACATAAAAATATAAAAAGATAAAGTGGATTTAAAATGAAAACAAAATAATGAATGTTATTAAGGGAGTAAATTTTTTACATAATTTTATGCCAAATTCTGATAAAAATAACAGATTTTTGTAGATTTTTGAGAAAATACAAATCAAATTGTTGGTAACAAATTTTAGTTTTTCAAGTCTTTCATAAATCTATTATGTAAATTAATAGGATTTTTAATAAATCAAAATATTGTTCTTACCAATTTTTTTATGTTACATTAACAATTTTTAATTGTAAATTAAAATTATTGAAAGAAAAATAAATCAATAATGAGCCACAATCAAAAATTTAACAATTTCTCAATTTTTTTTAGTTTTTATAAAAGTAAGATAATTTATCTATTTTCATGCTTATAAAAATTGAGTTTTTTTCAATAAATTGCAAATTTACACATATTGCAAGACAAATAAATTAATTTTTTTACCAAAAATGTTTATACTTGTAAATAATTAGAAAAATTAGCTATATCTCTTGTTATTATTTATCTTTTCAAACACTTAATATCATTTCTTTTTATTTAAATGTAACAAATAAAGAAATTAAGCTATTTGCTCATCAGTTTAAATACAACATAAAATTCAAGCTGGCATTTAATTTAATGAGGATTAAAAAAATAATTTACAAATAAATTATCATTTCTATCATGAAAATTTGTAATTATTTTTTAATATGCATTTTTAATTAACTAAAGTGATATGGTTATCTTGATTAAAATTCATAATTCATAAGTAATTCCTATATTACTATATGGAGCATGAATAATTAAATTCTGTGCAGTTTTTTTAAGTGAAAATTAACATATACAGATTTTAATTTTTAATGGTAGAGTTAGATTGTTTTATTCTTTCTAATTTACTTTTAATTGAATTATGTTATTTTCTAAATTAGCTATTCATTGGTTCGCAGCAAGAGTGATATACATTACTAAATAAAATATGCTTTTGAGAAATATACTATTGATTTTAAATGCGCTAAATTAAATTAAGAAATTAAAAAATAAACAAATTTAAATGTATATATTTACTTATTTTAAAGCAAGAACTTTAGCTTAATTCTCTGATTGATTAGCATTAGCACCGAATATAAAATGAAATTATTTTCAAGTGTAGCTACAGTAATACTATTTAATATTATCTAAATATCAATAACTTAGTCACTACAGTAATTTTCCTCTATATATTCCTCTACCTACTCAAATAAGATAGATACTCTTGACAGAATTAACTAAATTTAATTCATTGAGGTAACAAGCAAGAAAGGGTTTGTGTTTGCCACAGCTGAGGCAGAAGGACTCATAATCCTTGACTCGAATAACAATAATAAATTAATCTTTTAAGGTAAGTTGAGTGGCCCTCTTTATTAAGCAATCGCAGTAACTAGTGATGGTCAGCATGTGTTTTTAAGTATAAATAATACTTTTTGTGCATACTAATTTTTATATTCAGATAATTCATATGGCTTGTATTAATATTATTAGAATCAGACAGATGTTTCTCAAATACAAAGAATATAGATACTAGAAAATGAGAATCGAGTAATAATTGCCCATTTTTCTGGACTGCTTACATTAGTCGATATAAGCAATAGAGACAATTTAATAATAAGTATTTTAGCTAATTATACTGTTTAGTCTACTTTGAGAGGACTCAAAATTACAAAGGATATGTTGTGGATAATAATTTCTGATTATAATTATGGTCTTATGGTTTTTTATTGGTAAGACCAGACAAATGCGCAAAAGACTTTGAATTTAATTAATGTTGCAATATCATCTTCCGTTTCTCCTAGTTATTTTGTAATAACTTAAGATGGAAGGTATGTCATGATCGTTGAATATTGGGATGGATTCAGCATTATTGATTTGTATCCTATTTAATAAAAGTACATTTAAAATTAGTTTACAAATTTTACTATCGATACTCCATCCTTAGTAGTTCGCCGTTGGTGGGTTGATAACGATAGTTCACCCGATAGCTTGGCTATTACTATGACAAATGATGAAAATTATGTGATGATTGGGTAAAGATCTGTCGGAATTTACATTATTGACATTTCTAACAAATTGAACCCTTAATTATTCCAAATAATTTCAGCTTCACTTGATTCACTTTGCCTCATTTTATCTAAAGATTCATAGTAATAGTATCTTTATTATTCTAATGGAAATTCGTTACTAGCTTTTAAAAAATCTGAACCAAATTTAAATTTAGATGTACCTAATATATTGAATGTACAAAAATCGACTAGTATTAATGCAGGAAACAGTAAATGGAGGTGGACAGGAGCTGTAGAAATAAATAAT